TATTATTATTATTATTATTGTTGTTGTTGTTGTTGTTGTTGTTGTTTTTATTATTGTTATTATTATTGTTATTATTATTATCATTATCATTATCATTATAATTATCATTATCATTATAATTATCACTATAATTATCATTATCATTATCAATATCATTACCATTATCATCATTATCATTATCATTAGCGGTATCATTATCGTTATCATTATCATTATCGTTATCGTTGTTGTTGTTGTTGTTGTTGTTGTCGGCGGCGGCGGCGTCATCGTTGTCGTTGTTGTTGTTGTTGTTGATGTATGTTTTATAACTTCTTAAAAATTAGTATGAGCGTAAAATTGTAATTCAACTTTAGATTTTGGATCTTCCCACTTAGATGTTTTTGATAACTTTTTTTAATTAGTATAGGGGTTAAATGGTAATTCAACTTTGGAATTTAGAGCTTTCCACTTTTAGTAATATATATGATGATATGATGATAATATTTTAATACAATAAAATAAATTGTATACTAATAATATTAATTTAATGTGCTCAAACAAATAAGTTAATGATTTGTATTATTTTTTTATTATTATTATAAATTAAATATATTATTAACTGCATAATACATTTTATTAGTAATTTTTAATAATAAAATTATTACATTTGAAATCATCCGCGCAACGCACGGACACGTTTACTAGTTATATATAAATATAGAATTAAGAGAAAATTAGAGAATTTATCAAAAAATTTAAAAATATAATTTTTTTGCTAAATTGGGCAGACCCATTTTATTGAAAATAAAAACAACAAAACGAGCATAACTCGGGCCGTAAAGTGACCCGAGTTCAACAAAAACAAAATAAAAACAAGGAAACAACCAAAAAAGGAACAAAATCAATTAAGAAACAAAACTAGAACATACAATGGTTCTTTATATTCTCAGACGAACGACGCCAATGGAGCTTCTCCGTCACTGCTAAGCTATGTCTAAACCTCTGGAGATTGAGGGACCTCCATAGCAAGCATATACAGGTCTCACAAATGCCATGTAGTCAAATCGATGAAGACTTCTTCATATCAAAAGATGAACATGAACTCAAAAAGAGTGCATCAGTCCTAGTTCCAATCGAAAACAGGAGAAACATTGTAGATGAGTTCATACACCTTGAATCTGCAACCTCTGTAGAATCAGTTATTGCGAGCTAATACCACTACAACAGATCTTAGATTCAAAGGTATTAACTCACCACAATGTTATCCCCTATTTTTCTAGTTAAAAACTCATCTTTGTCATAAGGAAGAGTTAGTATCAAATTAATCGGTGACTGCAACTCCATGATTAGAAACCCTATTTTGATATTTTGTGATTCTCAAATTAGGACATTTGTGTTTTTGCAGTAATAGAATTGCCTTTGCGTGTTGTGGAAGATCTTATATGTTATGAAATTGTCTGACAGTAATAGTACCTGCAAAACTAAAAGTGAGGTTAGTGAAAAATCAGCATGCTTATTTCCTTCTCTTTATGTGTCCACAATCTCCACCAAATCATTTATCATTTAGGATTTGACACACCTTACATGAAATGAGATCAACCAAGGAACTTCACACACCCCATCCAAAATCTTCTTAGCAATTAGGCAACCAGTTTCAAACAGATATATGTAGTAGTCCATTATATAGACAATACTCTAATCCATTCTTAATAGCCTTAATTTTTGCTTCAATGACTCCACAGTCCTTCATCAGCCTAGCTTCAACATACACCGGATCTCCTTCCTAATTCCCGATATAGAAAGCTAGAGATCCATGTCTGGGATTGCCCTTACTAGAACCATCTGTATTGCATTTAGAACAATTTCTATTAGGAACCTTCCACACTACAATGTTACTGCAAATTAATGGAATGTCATCCTCTAGATATCTGATCAATTCTGGCCTATGAAACATCTATGGATATCTTAGCTTAGCAAACCACACATACTGCATATTGATGCTCATAATCATGACCATTTTAGACATAATGTTTCCATTTTTAATCAAGTTTCTCCTCTTTCATATATGTCAAATGATGATGACAGGGAGGACTTTGAATAAAGGCTTAAGCTTAACTACACAGTCAGCCTTCCACCACAGTTCAATCACTTGTGTGAGATGTACAAATTGTCCTTGTATTCCAGCAGCCTCTGCAAAAAGCTTCCACACACTAGAAGACACACTACAATTGATGAATAAATGATCAAAATATTAATTTACACTATTATTACTACAAGAACAATGTAAAGAATCTGAAATTCTCAAGCTCATCAAAACTTCACCAATTGGTATTTTCTTATGCCAGATTCTCCTCATCGAAAATGATATTTTAACAGGAAGCCCTTTTTTTCAAATGTTCATGATTTTCTCCATAGGGTCTTGCCTTTGTCTCACAATATCCCAGGCACTTGAACTGAAATTATTTTAGATCCTGTAAGCATACACCATGGTTTATCTCTAGTATCCATCATTTGTACATTCCCCAAATCATCCTTGATATGATTAACCACTTCTAAATTGAAATTCTCACACAACAAGGTTTCATTCCACATATTATCCATTATCAGCTACTTCACTTCTTCTAATATTCCATGAGTATGATTTACAGGCACGTCAAAGTGAAGAGTCCCTAATTGAGTCCAATTGTCAAACCAAATACTAGCTTGCCCACCTCTAGGTTCCCACCAAATTTTATGATCAAAGAAATATCTGGCTAGTAATAAGAGTTTCCACACATGTGATCCTCCATTCCATTCCACCACCTGTGGTCTAAGCCTTTTACAATATTTATTCAACGTAAAATTCGACCACAAAGTATTAGTAGTTCTCTATAGGGGTGTCAAATGGGCGGATTGGGTTGAAATTGGAGATATTAAAATGGGTTGAAATAGAAATAGGGTTGGTTCTTGACCCGCCCAAGTTTACTTTGGGCTCAAATGGGTTGGGCTCAAGTGGGCTAAAAATGGGTTGGGTCTTGACCCGATTAATCTCAATAATTTTAACATAGTGATATTTAACTTTTATAATCACAATTCGAATTTCAGCTCGAGATTTTTTTTTTAAAGTAACAAATGGATAGCTAAATCCTAAAAGATGTTAAATAGATAATAATTCATACCTTTAATATAGGAATATATCTTAGTAAAGAGTTTTAAAATGGGTTGAAATTGGAGATTGAATTGGGCTCAATTGAGGATTCTCTTAAAATGGGTTAGGCTTGAACGGGTTGAGATTGAACCCAATTCAAATTATCTTGAGCCCAACCCTTAAAATTTTGGGTGGGTTACCTATGTTTGGGTTTATTTTTGACACCCCTAGTTCTCTAGTTCCACCATTGCTTAACAAATAAAGGTTTAGCAACATCAAATAAAGATTTAAAACCTATACCCCCTTCTTTCTTGGGTAAACAAACACCCTTCCATGCTACCCAATGTTTAGCTCTACCTTCCTCCTTAGAATTCCATAGAAACTTAGAAAACATCCTATGAATGTCATGAATAAATCATTTAGGAGGACTAATAGCATAGAAGAGGTAAATGGGAATGCTCTGAAGAATATGATTAATCAAAACAATCTTACCCCAAATGAAAGTAATTTACCTTTCCATATATGTAGTTTGTTTTGTATTTTCTGAATGAGTTCTGAAAATGGGCCTTCTTCTTTGAATTACCAATAGGACATCCTAAGTACATCAGTCAAAATTGACCTCTCAGAAAATCAGTAATACATTCAACCTCTTGAGAAATAGCAAGTGCAACTTTAGAATGCTATAACAATAACTCTTCCCCTTATTGATCATTTGACCTTATTATTTTTCATACATTTGCAACACTTCCATGATAAGCTATAGAGATCTTTTATATGTTGAAGCAAAGATAATTGTATCATATGCATAAGTAAGGTTATTCAGTTTGTTACTTCATTTAGGCAAACCATAAATTTTAAACAAATAATTAAAAACAGATGATATAAAGCCCCCTTAATATCACTTTAGCAGACATTATAAAAAGGACATGAGACAAAGGATATTCTTGTTTCACTCCCCTAGAAGAGTGAAAGAAACCATGAGCCTATCCATTAAATGGAATTGAGTACCACTTATTAGCCATAATTCTCCAAATCATATCAAGAAACATATCATCAAAATCCATTATGCTCAGTACTTGGATTAAAAAATCTTCAATCTACTCTATCAAAGGCTTTAGCCATATCTAACTTGATAACTACATTATAAGGATTACCCCTTTTCCTTATATCAGAAAAGACATTTATTGTGATGCTTCTCCCATTGACAAAGCCAGATTGATTATAAGATATCAATCTAGGAAGGAAGTCTTCCAATCTATCATGAATGAGTCTAGAAACAATTTTATTAATAAAATTACTAAA